TATACAAGATATGGCACAGGTCATGAAACGTGTGTTCTGATCTAAACCGCATGCAGACTAGGGACTAGCGTCAGACCTAGGAGGCGCTCTTACGAAGACCTACACTTCACGCGCTGTTTTCAGGCGACAAAGTAAAGTTTCTGACAAACCCACAAAACAAATTTACCAGATATTCTGGTCCGCTTTCTAGCTAAAGGACGATCAAACTGGCATAAATGCAACCGGCAATAGCAAACAAGATTTCAATTTAAAACGTAATTAAGAATGCTGGTGTATTAAAACGATACTTCTTCAAGCTTTTTGCAGGCCTAAGCATAGAAATATTCCTTTGTGAACCCTTTATACACCTTTTTAATTTCTAGATAAATTGAATATAGAGAAATGGTCGATGTCGAACACTAAGTCAAACATGCCGTGGAATAAAAACGTCCAACAGAATAAAAAAGCACGCAATATTCGAAGAGCTGTATGTAGGGTCGGATTTATGCTGAACTAGAGATTTGCATAGTAAAGAAAAGCCGTTTATCTTGGAAAGAGGCCTTTCAAAGGGTTATTTTAATCCAGGAAAACTGAAATGCGTCCTGATTAGAGAAACAAGTAAACAAACAACAAAGCGAAGGAGAAGACGAAACGAAGTGTAGTTAGCGTCACTTATGCTGTAAATGTACGCTATCGGTCTACAAGTTGAGTAAGGCTAAAGGACTATTTTGTGATACTCTTGCTTACATTATACAACACTGGTAAACGAGTGCGGTACCAAGTTGTCAGTGTGCATGGAACGTACTTTTGGTTATTCGACTTTGCTTTAGCTGTTGCCCCCCAGCATCTCTATATGACCCAATTATTTGCTCCTGCTTCCAGTCGTGTCAAACGCCTGATTAACGCTCCCATAACTATTACGCCCTCCAGTGCCTTTGTTCTTTCCTTCTCAAGGTTGTTTCCATTGTCGGCGCCGTTGACGTATTGCTATTCCTTTTACAGTCGACCGTGATAATATTTTAAATATCAATGTGGGGAAGAGTATGTAAGTAAACTCTCAACTGATGGCCCATAGCGCGTCCTAGTCCCTGTTTCACCAGCGACCACCTGCAATAATACCGTTGACAACTGACAAACGGAACTGAGATACACGAACGGGAGAAACGGGTCGTTTTCGACAGTCCTGTTTTGACTCGAAACCTTATCCGGGAAGGTTTATCCAAGCTGAATCACATTGCTTACTTGACATCGCCGTCAGGTCCTGGAAAATGGGAGTAGATAATCCACAGACAATAAAGCGAATAGCAATAGACAAACCAAAAACAACTAGGCGTGCGAAGATACGAGACTTTCTAGACCTTACACAACAACGAAGAACAGGAACGAAAGATTAAAGCCCCAGTCAGCCTTGAAAAAGGCCGACCATCCAGAACGCTTGGCATTTTGTTTTCTGGGCTACCTCAACGGTACTTCCGTCTTGCTCGTTCTCCCCAACCCGCCGGTCGTATTGTATCGACCCATCAGCTTCCCAAGTACAACGAAGACGACATTGTGTAGCTGTATTACTTCCAGCCAGAAGCTTTCTGATCCCGGTCGGATCTTGAGTTCCGTGATCCTGGAACAGGACACCAGTTTTCGGATGTCTGCTACCATTTCATTTTCCCTTAACCAAACGACGCCTGGTTCTAGAAAACAGTCCTCATGTAGCCCCCTCTGCCTTACGACCGAGACGAACCTAAACTATCGTAGAACTCCTAAGAGTTCCCAATCGCTTTTTCACGCTAACTTTCCTACCGACACTGTACAATCCACTGCCGCAAACTCAACAATTCGACGACTCTCGCCCTTATTGCCCTCCTCCGCCGTTTACTCCTACGGAGCGTCCTTTCCCAATGAGAGCTAAAGCATAAAAGGTACTCAGATCGAAAGGGATGCTTTGGACCTTGAAAAGGCATAGATATCAGTAATGTTGATTGTTTGTTTTCTTGTGGTCATGAGAATGCCCGTTGTTATTTAGGTGGAAGCTTCAGGGGAAATTATACACCGAGTTGGGGAAGTCAATGAAAGTTCGCGTTCTACGTAACCAACAGACTGTTATTGGATTGATAAAGTTTGTTTTACTTCGCGTTGTTTCTAAATGAAGATAGGCAGAACGAAAACAGTGTGTTTACTTCCAGGATACTTTTATACGATTTTTGCGTCGTAAGTTAATAAGTGCTATCAGTGTACACGGTGACATATAAATGTTCACTGCACTCAGATTGGTCCGATATGGATGTTTGTGAAGACAACAGGATAAGCAGTGTTATTCGTTAGTACGTAGCAAAAAAAAACACTATTCAATGTGTGATCATTGTATAATCTCCGGCAAGAGGTTTTGTGTAGAAGTTGATAGAAAGCGATATACCTACGGCATGCAGAGATGAATGACATTGCGATTATGGAAACAAAAGGGAAAGTGAGTCATTAAAGTCAGTATACCTCGGGAGCACGAGCTAACTAACACGCATTGTTTGAAAAATCAAGATAAAGACAACGACAAGAACATTTAGAGAGCTTCGTAAGGCAATTGCCTAGTCCACTTACCTATAGGATATCTATCGGGCTGAAAAACTTCAATGGCTATAGTAGCAAATATATAACTTGAATAGCCGTAAAATAGCATAGTAGGCATATGCTATATTTACAGCTTGCTTTAACGTTGACATGGCAATGCCACATCCACGTTATCTTGTTACTGATGGCTAGAGGGAACCGATCGTGGAACGCACTTCGTCACCTACCGCTTGATTAAAGGCGCAGAAATAGTAAACATGACGCGGACTTCAACGTCGGGAAGTAAAGGTCTAGAGGCATCTGTTTTCCCCGACCCAGGTCGTGATTAAGGTGCGGCGACGAGGTTATTTTCAACTTGTTCTTCCGTTTAAGATCTTGAGCTGTAATCATCTCATCTGTGGTCTTCTATCTCCCCATTCTCGCTCTTAAAATAGTAGAATTAGTATTGAATTCTTGTGTTATTGAAAGCTTCTTTACCTAGTATTTTCGCCAATGCCCCAGAATAGATTTCACAGGTGTGCTCAGGTGTGTGTCTTCTTCGACGAGTATACAACTCAAAGCTTGAATCAATAACTAATTTCCTTTAAGAAACAGAAATGTAAACAATGAGCGCTGATTTTCAGCACTAGATGATATTTTTGCCTCTTAACTCAGCATTGTCAAAGAACGCTCAAGTGCCTAAGACTAGATGTAAGTATTCAGCTACTTTCGCCTAAAAAGTAAAGCCGTAAAAGTTCTTTCAGTTCAGCTGAATGGCTCCAGGCAAGCCAACATCTATTTAGACAAGTTGAAGTTCGATTACTCAAGGGCAATTACGTTTTAAATAAAGTAAAACCCATCAGATTCGTCGTACTGACGAGCACGACGTCATTAACATAAGATTACATCAATTTAATAGTTAATTATATATCCATATGATCACATTTATAACAAGCTAGGTAATATTTGAATATGGAATAAAGGGTCGATGAATACTCATTTGAACGACTGACTATTTAAGAATCCCTCTTTATAGTTGCTTCAACAAGTCCACTATTGTTAAAAAAAATAACAAGAAGGTCAGAGGTATCGGTAACAAGTAATGACGAAACAAGATTACCCACACGAATATAGAAAAACTTTAATAGACTCTGTTCATCCATTAGAGCTATGGCTTTACCTTAAATATTGCCAAATGGTGAATAGAGAAGTTAACTTCCGGCCAAACGTAACTTTGAGTGTATGCGAACTATTAATTCAATGTGGATAATAAGTGAACTCGAGAGAAACTTAGAGGCCCCTATTGGTAAGAAGTGTGTCATTTGAAACAAGACGAACCTTCTTGCGTAAAATCAATGCGGAGACTTGTTCCATAAAGACGCCTTTGTTCGTGAATGCTAATTGTTCCACAGGGAATGTTTACTGCACAGATTAATAAGGCCATACGCTCAGTAACACTCTTCTAAATCACGCCTTGAAGCTTGAAGGTGATTTACCAGGGAAGACTCTAATTTATTACTTGGTCCTTCGAGTCATGTAAGGACAGGGTTTCAGTGCCGTTGCAGTGAAATGCGTCAGGGAACCTGTATCTCTACAGCATTGGAATGCAATGCCTTATTTTTTATTTGTAAAACTTTGTTACCTCTGGCTAAACAGTGTTGAGTTTCTGTGTAAGCACGCCATGTAAATGATTTTTATGACTCTCCCTCTATCTCTCTCTCTCTCAAAACTAAAGCTAGCAGTGAGAGTTGGTTGCTGCTTTTAGAATTAAAGACAGAACGGTATCATCACTAGCGACTGATTCGGGTTAAGGTGCACGGACGCAATTAAGCAGACCTTGGATCTAACGTTTGATATCTTCAATGTGGTGAATGGATAAGCGTATTCACTTCGAACGGTGAACGCCACTGGAATGGAACGAAAACTAGTTGAGTAACTGTTGTGCTTCCGCGTTTTTCAATATTCTTTAACGGATGCATTATAGAAGTGAGGAAAATTTGTAGGGGATTAGAGGCTTATGAGTTTGAAACGTTATAGATTTAAGCGGAAGTTCCTCGGACCCCGAGTACGTAGGTGGTTTTGCCGGCTACCAGTTCTCATAATTTAAAACTCAAGTGTGCGTGGAAGTCCCACAGACCTATAAAAGGCTAGCCAAAGTCTGGCGTTTTTCGAAATAACATTCTGCGCAATATTTTCCTTCAGTTATATTTGTAAATATATTTTTAGATGATAACGTGTACATATGGTGCAATGTGTGTAACAAATACTTGTTATGCCCCCATTTAGATATTTCCTTCTTGCGCCTAACGTCAGTATCCCTGTGATGATACAGTAACAACCTGTTTGATTACTGAAGTTACGAATACGTGATGGTCTGGTTCGAAGCCAAAGGAAGACGAAGCTCATTTTATGCTTAAAGGTAATGTATAAGACGTAAAACTTATGACATTATTTATGTTTGTCTCGGTATGGGTTTGCTACAACGATCGAAGAGACTGAAAATTTCAACAGCAAAAGGGAATCTATACGAAAATAATTTTTCGCTTGTTAAAAAAGTAAGATTTTGCTTGTTTGTGATAGCTGTAGATTGTGCGTTGTTACTGATGCTTTTGATATTGCCTTTTTTTATTGTTATTGTTGTTTTCGCTGCCCGAGTTCCCTTGTCGCCACAAATTGTCTCCTATGCGATTTTTGCTTTGACTCCGACACGCAACCCTGTTACCATAAACGTACGCATACGTATCTTCGACTATGATACGTTGCTAAATAGCCAGTAGTGGATTTTCACACGGTTGAAAATGTGTGAAACGAAGCGCCATTGAGTGGTTAGGGCGGGAATCGAAGCCCGCAAATCGTTCCTTCGCCGCGGCTGAAAAGGACGAAATGTCCATATATATATATATATATAGATTATTATTATTGAAGCCGAAACAGTATATTACACCACGGCGAGACGGCAGTCGAGGCCGTATTGCATGAAGCTTTTGTCGTCCTTCGTTCCCTGCTAGATATTTACGCTGTAGGAATAGATGACATATTATCGTTCATTACCACAAAGACAGCTATGGATCACGATCGTGCGCTTCGTTTCCTAGAAGTAAATGATAGGAGAAGTAGTTGAATCAGAACGCTTGCAGCAACAGCCCAATTCGAAGACCAGCTAAAAAAGACGTTTTTGTATGGGCATCATCAATTGGGTAGATAATTATAGAGACAGAAATAAGGATGTGGCTAATTCGGGTTTGCATTCTAAAAGACGGCTTCAAGCTATTTTAGCTCCTAGAGAAAAGGTTTTTCCTGGTTTTAGGTAAGTCATCGTTAGCTCCTCGGCAGACGACGGGCTCATAGAAAGACTTGAAGTGACGAGTAACGCTAGAAACCGACTAGATAAAGCAGATCGAACTTTTTAGCGCTGTAAGAAGACGCAGTCCTAGTCAAAAATATTATAGATCGACTACTGAGAACGCAACTTGCTGTTTGATTTACAAATGACAGCAGGCCTAAATAACGAAGAGGTCTCCACCAAAACGCCTCTAGCTGGAGGAGACTCGCGAACTCGGATCGCCAGCGTCCATTCTCGGCTAAGTACAGTCTGAATTACGCAAAACACAATGAAGCTTCCAAAACAACACGGCCATTTTTTGTAATGACGGCCCCGTGTTGCCAGCCTAAAATATATTCCACGTATTCATAAGGGCTCAATAGGCATTGTGCCTTACGCTTAGTAGATGGACAAACCATGTAAGCACTAAAAGTAAACAGAACAACCTATTCTACCTGAATATTGAAATAGATCACGTCAGTGGGTTAGTCATCTAATCGGCAGATGCAGCATATTTAGACCGGGCCTCAATGACGGTTCCTTTTGGGGTCTATATCATCTATCTACGATAATCGCACCGTTCACATTAATTGCTTGTTAATAATCCTTTTTAACTAGATGTTACAATTGTCCTGTTCCAAATGAAGGTGCCTACTTTCCACACCTCCATTCACGTAGGGCTCTGCAAATGACGAACGTCGAGAATGGGCACGTTTGAAAAAATCTTCATCTAATTACATCATAGATAATATATTGGAGGGAATCTTCGGGAAGCAGCGGGTAGTTTCGTTGATGGTGGCACAGCGTTCGATGAACATCTATGTTCAAGGAAGGTGCTGACTATCGGTGCCTTGTTTGCAATCATCCATCTTTTGCGTACCGTCTGGGTACCTCACAGAACTGAGTATGTCCTTCCCGAACATAATTGCCAATCGCTTTTGGGAAACTCATTGTCTTCTTATCGCTTTAATAAATTTCTTTTCTAGATACACAATCTTTTATTAAGCCCAGTCTTTGTCCAGAGATGGATGTAGCTGTCAAACGGTTGGCGAATTAGCTAGCTTAAGCTTTTATACATGCTGTTCAAAACCCGACAATAACTAAAGAACATGCCCGGGTTTATTCGGTCCAGATTAGATGTTATAACAGAATGATTTTTTTTCCTTTCGGATAGATGAGTCTTTGACCTGGGATGCAGAATTTTTTAGTGAGTTTTGCCTGTAAGCAAGAAATGGACTGACAGGAATTGTGTAGAAATGTAGTGCTATGAACAATAACTTCGAACGAAAAAGGTCTCATATCGATTTAACAACACTGCATTGTAGTTCATATAGAAACTTCTTCTCCACGCCCTTTTTGCAACAGCCATTGCGGCTTAGCTCAGCTGAAATTACCTGCTCATTGGAAAACCATGTTTTTGCGGCAATTACAGAAATGTTAAATACTTGTTGATTTCCAGGCAGTGTCTATAGCGCCATCGTCACGAAGTGAACGCGCGTAAATGCAATTGTGATTCATGTTTATAGTTTGCTCCATGGTCACGTCAGATTTACAGTCAATCTCGAGTCATGATGCAGAGAAAAATTGTGTCAACAAGCAACACACGTATTGCAGTTTCCTTAGGTGTGCCCGCTCCTTGTTGCATGAATTTAGGAGATACTTTTTGCGGACGCATTCTTCTTAAGTTTTATTTCTCATTTGTTGTAGTGACTAACGGGCAAGATGACGACTCAAGCCACCGGCTGGGTACAAATCTCTGCTCGAGATCTCCCGTTTGTCTCCAACTGAAGCGCTCTTTGTGAGCTTATTATCTTTCTCTATATAAGCGGTTATTATTTTTTGTTAGGGCGTCCACCGAACTCTATAGCACTCTGCATAAGTGGTACATTTTTTTGCCTAATATATTGACGAATTTCTCTTGGGCTAAGGTTCCGTTGGAGAACATTCATTGGCACGAAAACGCATCGCCGTATGATACTATGTATTCTTGTATACACCCCTTATTACATTATACATCCAGGATCTAGAAATACTTTTCATTGTGTAATGCCTGGCCTAGCATGATCGTGACTGAGAGCAACCCACTGTGTGACCTCTACACTCAACAAGCGCCTCATTAGGTTAGGTTCCAATAGGGGTTGGATATATTATTGTCATAGTGCGGACTGCGTTTACCTGCATTTTGCTTCCAGCACTAATATCATTGCTGCAACCATTTCACTTTCTGAACTGAAAACTTTAAGATATAGCTTCGAACTATGCTAAATTTTGGGAGGAATCTAGCTTCCATCTGCGCCCCTCCGGAAGGACCTCACAAGGAAAACTCTTGATTTTGACCAAAATAGCTAAGGTTTTAGTCTGAAGTAAATGGCGCTATTTCCAGACATTGCGTACCGTCAACAGGCTTAACGAATTCAGTTCTCCAGCTACATGGATATCTACACGACAGGTGTAAACAAATAAAGGTAACTAAAGAGATATGTGATATGCCATTATGTCCAATACATTTACTCTTTTACTAGCCCATTTACCAATAAAATAGTACGAATAAAATTAATTTCATTCACTATGATACCACTCAGCATAGTGAACGTAGTACGGGTAACTAAGCTAAAAAAATATCATCTGGTACGTACCGTGCGAGCAAATCCGTGCGGGTACAGACATGATGCTAGCATAAATGGTAGTGATGACGAAAATCTTCTAACTATTCTTTATATGCCATGTCGCACACTGGCCGAGCTTTCAGAACTGTCAGAAGCTGCCCTTCTGGGAGATTTCGATACTGCTTGCGACCTGTCAGGTCCTTTGAACCAATTTGCTTCCTAATGCCTTTTCGAACAAAGCGACACTTTCGTGAGTGATTTAATCAATGAATCATCTGTAGGCTGAATGATTTTATTTAGCTAAGTGTAGCAAACCTTACACTATAAGATCAATTCTGTGTAGGAGCACGGGTCAGTCATTGATAAGGACCGCTATTGTTATCACACTGGGACGTATTCTCGGGAACGGGAAAACCCTATTAAAAACTAGTTACCTTTCTGCTAATGTTTTTTTTTTCTCATTTACGTCCTAGACCGAGGACTCGGTGCAGCGCAGCTCAAAAAATATATTTAGCTGGACTAGATCAGCTGTACAGATGACGCATATACGAGTAGTGGTCAAAAAATAGGAGGCATAAATTTATGTAGTTTACCTAGATAAAAATTAGCCCACGCCTTTGCTCAATATTCACGCCATTCAATCCACAAGGCGGAGCAGCGGGACCTTAATCGCGAGACGCCAGCGAACCCACGACAAAGCCAGCTGTTGCCTTCAGAAGTCTTTAAAGACTTGCCCAAGAAAGATTATCAGACGGACCAGAGTCAGGGCCAGACTCGTTGTCATGACCACAATAGATTCAGCACCCTCTGTCTAGACTCCATGCACCACTCCACATAGTTCTAGATAATACTGAATGTCCCATACAAATAATTTGTGAGACAGCCACGAACGAAGTAAGGGTATAGCGCAGCAAAGGCAGACAAGCTGTACCGAAGAAGACAATGAGTAGATGTGCAGTACAATACGCTTAGCACAATGGACATCATAGCTATCATTAGAAATTTTGCTATATACGCACATATACAGTGCACCTAGTTATACCTAGTAGGACATCTACTTTTAGAAACTCACAGTTTGGCACGTATACAAATAAATCACATATGGGCGCATAAAAATAAGGCAACGCTAATTGTGTCGATCGAACGACTGGGGCAAGAAGTGACCTTGTTCGAGGAAGATTTTGGGCGACCTAGTTGATCGACCCTAGACTTTTGTCAGGCTTGAAAAACAATTCATTTATTGAATGCAAACAAAACCCAATAATATTATATGCGCATACACATATACCTGGACCGTTACCGTGCTGCAGCGTTCACTTTAGCTATTTCCAAACAATAAATTAAAGCTTCGATTAATTACCGAAGCAATGAACTTATTATTGATTCATAGTCATTGTCACGAGGCGCTGTTTGTATAATAGCGCAATTAGTTCTAGACAGTGGGTCCGACGTTTTTAGCTGGTAGGAGCTTCACAATATCAATCAAATACCTCAGTCGTTATCGTTTCGTTACTTCAGCATAAAAACGAAGGTTTTTCTTTCGAGCAAGACTATCTACATCTGCTTTCAAAGCTAAACTGGACTTCCGCATAAGGTCCTTAACACTCGGCGTCCCATGCGGAAAAATGAAAAACCTGTGGACAAGCGCTACGATGGAATCATGCGGTATCAGCAGACCGCACTTTATGCTCTATTCTGTCTCATAGAGAGACAGTCGTCCGCAGTATCGCAGACCTTACAAAGAGCGACGTTTATGCCGAAATGGAACGTTACGTATCTATACACCAAACTTCTCCGCTATCATTTTGAGCCATCATTCCTTTACCGACCGATCAAAACACAGCGGGAGTAAATGTAGCACGGAAATGAAAATTTCTGAGGAACGGCTTTCCGTTTTGCAACACTTTATAGCCAGAGAACAAGAACTATTTCGAAACTGAAAAAATATGCCCCTATTCTGCTTGTCAGAGATGCAAGTAAAGAAAGAGATATACCAAAATGAATGTTAACCTTAATGCAATGTAGGAAAGACAGGCTACTCGATTCTGGCAAATAGGCCAATCTTACGCAATACAATGGGAGAAGGAAAGTGAGGATCTTCTCTAAAACCATGTCGAGAGGATGGCAGTAGGCACGATAATACATAGAACATGGTATCGTGTCCTCTTTGATTTTCTCGTGGAGTCCTCTATATAAACGGCAGAGCGAGCCAGGCGGCAATTACGTGTAACAGCCCCTATCTGGTTATTCGTGAACCATTTGGAATTATTCAAACGAGTTGTTCTCGATCGCCCCAGTTTGACTATGGATCAGGACTGAGATTTATTTAGAAGTGACTAATATTAATTTAGCTCGACAGGCTATTTTTTAAAAATCGAGGTAAGTTAGGCTTACTTGACGTGATGTTTGGTACCTTCAACTGGTATTTTAGGACAACTTAGAAGAATTTCCTCGTAGTCTCAGTTATAATTAGAAGCGTTAGTATCCATCTCCATTTAGGGGAAGAAGATTAAAGGTGGTAAAAGTAGGAAAATAGAATTACTGAAATCGAAACGTTGTCGCTCCGCAGGGAATGTAAGCAGACTGTTTTTAATAATACATTGCTTTCGGTCCATCGATTTATTGCTTTTACAGTATAAATCGATTATAAAATGTCGGCCTTTAGAGCAAGATGTCTAACTCCTTCTGCCAGTTTGCAACTAAACTGGGAATCTATTGATAGGATAAGGATCCCCAAGTGGAATAAAAGTCGAGATACGTAGACGTTTTACTGGTAATCTATTTTCCTATATAGCTCAATATTTATATATCTGGATGAATTAAGTTTCACATGTATTAAGTCCAAATAGCTGCCATTATTCTTATGCGTGGAACCGTGCATAGACTAAAATCTGTTACAGGAACATCGTGTGTTCTAACGGTTTTGTAAGGATCACATTGATTTTGGCAGCATCAGGCCTTTAGCGCCGAGACAAATATTTGCGGAATCAAATATATACAAGTGGCAAGGAATTTTCGTACATTTCGTTGACAGCGTAATACGCTACAGCCGCTCACATTAACCGTATTTATTGAGTGTTTGTAAAATTGTCAACAAGAGTCCTGCTGCTCTTTGCCATTACCCAGAACGAGCTTGCGAAAGCTATCGTGCGTATTAGACATGTACATTACGCCATTTTGTCGCCGTTCGCAGATGAGATATGAAAAAGGATTGTCCTAAGCTAACATTTTTGGCCATAATTATTGACATAGTGCACTGCGCCCCGTAAATTAGATCTACTTGAATTCATCCCAGTTCTCGGAACCCTGACTCTTTTAGTCCATTCATCCTTTCCCATTTTTAGTAAACTTATGTCTCTATAAACATATGCATCTTATATGCCTGTCGTTAGTAATCAAGCTCGTTTTCTTTTATATTTTTCCAGTAGGTTTTTTTAAGCTGAGATTGCTAGTGGTACAAACCTGAAATTCGTCGATGAGTCGCCTGCTTTTCACGTCTTTAGGATCATTTTAGCCTGTTACAAACGCATTTGGCACGCATTGAAAGAGACGAGATTTGGCTGGTGGGTGTTCCGATACCCGTTTCAGTCCTGGTGCACAAAAGCGGACCTCTGTAATGTATGACAAAATTATAAGCCAAAAGCTGACTAAAAATGGCATCCCTTGAGATGACTCCAGATCAATTGGAAATGCACGTAACATAATATTTCAGGTACAATTCGCAACAAGAAATCTACCTGGACCATTCGGTCGCTATGGACGAGGCATGGTTCAATGGCAAATCCTACCAGTATATCTCAGTTACTTTCTGGATTGAAACAAGATAATACTCAACGTTGGCTTGAGCTCGTCTATTTTTCTGTCCTAGAGCCGCGTGATGTCCATGCCCTAAACAGGACAACTGACGAGCAAACATCTTTGACATTCGGTTTGATTTTTTGGCGCGAATAATTGGTATATGGCTATCCATATAATCCCAGTAGCCTTGGGACAAGTAGGTAAAGAATAAAATGCGAACAAGTATAAAAAACTATCATACTAGAATAGATCTATATAGCCAGGCTTATAGATTAACCCAACGAAACTTTATAATGTTCTGCTGTCTTCATGTTACCTTGTTGTTGAACGAAACGTGCACCGAAACTTGTCGATAACCAAAAACATTGGCTACCAGCCATACAAAACGTGACGTCAGAACCAATGCTTAATAGCGGTAGTACGCGTTAAACTTGAAACGACTATTTAATCAACGACAAACTAATTTTTATCGCGTCAGAGAGCTGGTTCTCAAATCGAACCCATACCGACCAGTGTTTGCGCGGCCAATCAGGCCAACTATTGCACTATCGTAGGGACAATCATCGTTAGACTAATATGTATAAGCCAAAAGCAAATGTCGAGGCAAAAATTTGGCTTGCCTGCTTGGACATCTATATGTATAAATCCTTTCTAATACGATCAGAAGTGGTTAAATTCGTTCTCCTCAGACAAATCACGCATCGTTCGATAGCACCAGACAGCGACCAGGCTTAACTCAGCTGACACCCCTAAAACTTCGATGCATTTATGTATTGAGCTTACTCAGCATCCTCTCACGCAGATGATCAGCGATGAATACAGCTGCAATACGTTCATATGCTGAATGAATGTATACCCGGAATTGTATACAGGTAGAGCACGCTCCCCACTTATGGCAACTGACCCTCTGAGCAGGGACCCAGTTCTTGTGGGTTCGTAGATGTAAGCAATATCGGTCTGTGACAACCCTTGCAAATCGTCCTATCGAAGCACAGTTTTTAGAAGGGTTAACGAGATCGCGAAAGTTTTCGGTGACGAGATGAACGCTTTTGCTCGGTAGCGGTGGAAAAAAATACTTATAAATACGTACTCTAAGTACGAGTGCCGGTTGAGGATGGATTCGACAAGCCTATCCTACGTGGCCGTAGATGACGGCTAGAATATATTGCTGAAAAGCGGAGGTACTGGATTTGACGTACATGATGAGGACAGTTTTATAATGTGCGTTCGCGAACCAAAAGCCACCTTATGGGCGTCTAGTCGCTCGATAGATGAAATCGATGCCCTAAAATATGGTTCAGGCCAAGTATTTAATTTACATTTTCATCTAAATCTACTCTCGCTCCTCGATTTTCTGGTCGCTGTTTATGTGCATGCATTAAAGCTCGTTAGCAGACCTGCTAGATAAACCGTATCTGAAAGACTGGCTAGCATAGGAGTAAATATTATCGAATCCGAGCAGCTATAGGAACAAAGATTATGAACTGTCGCCAGGAATTGTTTATTGTATCTTTCGCTGACGAGTCGCTGATTTTGGGGCGGACTCGTGCCAGCTTTACATAGCAGGTAACGCTATTTGGAACCTCACATGGGATAATGGGTCCTTGCCGCCGTAGCCCTTAAGCTTGCATAGATTATGCACACACCTATTCAGATTCTGTGAAAAAAACGCGCAGTATTGGAAGAAACTCCTGTCGACGCACAGATGTGTCTTTCAACGCAAACAGAAATTAGGGTTTGTTGTGTATTTTTTGCTAGACACTTCAGCAAAGAACGATTCTTCACGATGTACTGGCTTAATCGACGTCGTATTGGGCGAGCGAAATTTATTTCACTGAGCTGTTGAAATGACGGTATGATCTGTTCTTCAAGTGGAACTCTATAACTCGGGGATGGTTGAATGAGTGAAACGTTGGATAGAGATAAAGACGCTCCACAGCATAAGCTTTTGATCCATTTAATCATCCCGTTCTATGGCTGCTCACAGAGAACTCTCACCCGGGGCAATTGTAAGGTGTTCGATTATATAAAACCTAGGTGTTCTTAAGTTTCGAAGTAGACGGCTACAGTTCTTCCAAAAGTCATATGAATTACTCGGGTACCGCAGCTGTGACACAGAAGTATCTAGAAGCCTGAATGATCTACCAGCGGGTTTTATTTACAGTTAATAAATCGGTATATATATATATTCGGTAGATGGCAAGTAATTGTAGTAGCTAAGAAAATATAATGTAGCTATGATTCATAAGGCTCCTAGATTTCCTAGTTCATTTACGATCCTAAAGGTCAGTTACAGACAACACTGTTAAAGCCACTGAATTTTTGCGGAAACAGCATTTACCCATGGCTCGGACCGGCTTGTCTGTTGAACACGAAAAACTGTGCATTTATGTGAGGAAGTTGCTCGAAAATTACCCCAGAAAAATGTTTTCTTATGCAATTTGTATAGTCGACGGTAACGGTGCTATGTAGTAAGTTAAATGGTGCAAAGCCGAGTAACGAGATGATCTAGGTCTACTTGGCAGGAGTGATTTTGACTGTACATTATAGACATCGCCCGACTTCGCTGAACATCTCCGTAAATCCAACTTGTGGATAGTATGAACCACCGAAGACCTCCGTTGTTAATCACTCTCAGGTGGGCACAGCAGGAGCACGGTATAGCATGTCGCAGCGTGCTTGCCATGTCACTAGTAGAGGTTTCAATAAAGGAAATAATAAGTAGAACGTCGTTTTCGTGCAGCCATATTTATTACTTTACAGATCCGAGGATCGTGTCGGCTTTTTTTTAGCTCCTACTACCGTAATAATTGCTAGCTTTTGACTGGTTCGTTTTCGTGCTACTTCGCGCAGGGCTCCAGAAAGACATTTTTTGCATAGCTAACTTAACTAGTTTGCATTTGACTGTTAAGCGTATTAGAGTAACTTTTGAGGAAACGTCCCGAGAGCCAGGCTGACAGGAAGTCCACTGATATGCCAAATTATATTTCTAGCCGCTACTCGTCGAAACAGAGAAGTCACATCTATAAAGAAAATTTGGAGAGATATATTCCTTTTGAAAGTACAAAGCTAGCACCCACTTAGACTAAGTAAAGGTCGCTCCTAGCGAACAGGTGCTATGGAGGTAAAAGCTAAGTTTATGCACTGGACAAGGCCTTGTAAGCAGGGTCCGTTTCTTTAGATAGACTAAAGACGAACGTTATTTTATACTTGATATTATAAGAGCATTTCGCTATCAACCGTATCTCTATACTATCTTAACTTTGTAGTCTCATTATATCTTGCACGGTTGTTGGCCACGTTACACGTAGGATGCATAGAAGCCCTTTCGAATATCGTATGTTGCATGACGACGTATACACGATAAACAAAGTAGAACAGAAAGGTAAACGACTGGGCAAAGTATTTGTAAAACTTGTGCTTTACAAGCACAACTCCCGTCGCAGGATTAGCTGAAGTCTATTTACTGAGGACTTTAAAGGCTGGCCTTTCCGACTATTTGTATAGCGCTGCTGGCCATCTAAAGTAAACTTGACGATCACAGTTGGTGATTGCAACGAAAAACTTTAAATTTTTGTGGATACTATTATTATGTACGAACAAAAGAATTTCATGATCTGTTTTACGGGTCTTTGAGCAGCTCATCTATGATTCAGTACGTAAACAGATCGTGAACTGTACTATTTCAGCGTTGTCAGCGTAGCCATTTGACATTGACTGGTTTGCTTAACAGCATCCTCGGTACCGCTGGGTGATTTGAGCTCCCATTATTGACAGTCGCTTTTGGACATAATAAAGGCATATTTAAGTAGAGAGCGACTCTTCAATGATAAAATACCGAGAGTTACTTTGTTCAAATAAAGAATTTTATTAGTTCCGGTATTGCAGGTATCTAAATAGTATCGGACAACATCCAGCTAGGTAAACACTGTTATGAGTAAGCCGACTTCTCAAT